CAGATGTGTGTGAGGTTGGCAGTAAGCCGTAAATGGCACCACTGCACTCCAGACTGAATGACAGAGTGGGACCCTGTCTCAAAAAAAAAAAAAAAAAAAGGAAGGAATGAAGGAGGGGAGGGATGTGGGGGAAGGAGGTAGGTAAAGGGAGGAGAAGAAAAGAAAAGAAAACGAAAGAAGAAGGAAAGAAAGAAAAGAAAGAAAGGAATAGATAAGATATTTGTTTTAATAGGGAAATGAAAGAAATTGAATTATCATTTTTATTATATTTTGTATTTTATTCTTTTGTATTACGATAAGATAAGCATTAAGACTTATTTTATGTATAAGAGAAGAAAGAAGAAGAGAAGGAAGGAAGGAAGGAAGGAAGGAAGGAAGACTAAAAATAGAGCTACCACATGATCCAGAAATCCCACAGCTAGGTATATACCCCAAAGAAAGGAAATCAGTATACTGAAGAGATATCTGCACTACCATGTTTGTTGCAGTACTATTCACAACAGTCAAGATTTAGAAGCAACTTAAGTATCCATCCATAGATGACTAGATAAAGAAAATGTGGTACACATACTCAACGGAGTATATTCAGCCATAAAAAATGAGATCCTGTCATTTGCAACAACATGGATGGAACTAGAGATCATTATATTAAGTAAAATAAGCCAGGCACAGAAAGACAAACTTCATATGTTCTCAATTATTTATGGGAGCTAAAAATTGAAATAATTGAACACATGAAAATATGGAGTAGAAGCATGGTTACCAGAGGCTGGGAATGGTTGTTGGGGCAGTGGGTGGTAGAGGGAAATGGGGATGGTTAATGGGTACAAAAAAATAGTTTAAAAAAATGAATGAGACCTAGTATGTGCTAGTACAACACATAGTCAAGTTATAGCTTGACTACAGTCAAAAATAACTTAATTGTACATTTTGAAATAAAGAGTGTAACTGGATTGTTTGCAACACAAAGGATAAGTACTTGAGGTGATGGATACCCCATTTACCCTAATGTGCTTATTATGCATTGCATGCCTGTATCAAAATATCTCATGTAACCCATAATATATACACCAACTTTGTACCCACAAAAATTAAACATACAACAAATATTTTTAACTAAAAATTTAAATTAAAAAAAATTATGTTAAGATGCCAGAGAACGGACTTCTAAGCTCACCAATATGGTTGTTGGCAAGCCTCATGATGGCTGCTGGCCAGAGGCTGCCTGAAGTTGCTTGCCACTTGGGCCTCTCCAACATGCAACTTCCTTCATCAAAGCAAGCAAGCCAAAAAGGCAAGAGAAAAAGTGTCAACAAGATGGAAGTCATAATATTTTATACCCCAATCTTGGAAGTGACATTCCATCACTTTTGCTGTATTCTATTCATTGGAAGTAAGTCATTAAGTTCAGTCCACACCCAAAGGGAGGGGATTACATTACCGTATGAATACAAAGAGGTGGGGATCATTGGAAGCCATCTTAGAAGGCTGCCTACCACACCTATGAAGATCGGAGTTGAGAGATAGAAGACATATTTTTCAAATTGTAACAGGTACATTCTATACCCCTGACACAATAACTCAAACTGAAGTTTCCCTACTTGAAAAACCAATTATATATGGTTCTGGTAAAAACGATAATCACCAGGCCCCCTTTGACCCCTGGTTAATCATACAGCCATCTTCCTTTTCTTGGTGATTGGTCAAAGGGGTGATGGCCAGAGACCATTCATGCAGATTGACATGAGAATACTGGAAGAGGAAAGGTCTCTTCTTTCTTCCTTTTGAATCATGAACAATAAAAATGAAAGCTTACAGCTGTGGGAGCCACCTTCCCCACTGCACAAAAACACCTGTTGATAGGGCTGAAAGAAGGAGCAAAGAAACCGAGAGGAAGCTAATGATACCATGTGAGCCCCTGTAAGGCACCAATGGAGTACTCTAGTCAGCTCTACTCTGAACTTTCCACTTATATGAACCAATAAATCCCATTTTTCTCAAGCTTGTTTGAGTTTCTGACATTTGTAACCAAAAGAGTCCTGGATGATACCGGCTTATTTTTTCTTACTAATCAATATATACATTCCATCTCCGTGTGGTTTTTAAGCTGGGAAACAACACAGTTATCTGAAAAAGTTTTTTGTTTTTTGTTTTGTTTTGTTTTGTTTTTAAATACAGATTTCTAGACCCCACTGAAATCTACTTTTTCAGAATCTTTAGGGATAGGACCCTCACATCTGTATTATTTTTAATTTCACAAATGATTCTGAAGCCCAGTCATTATGGATACTCACTAATATTCTGGAAGCTAGGAGTCCAAGATCAGAGTGGCAGCATGGTCAAGTTTTAATGTGAGCCCTCTTCCAGGCTGCAGACTGATAACTTCTCACTGTATCCTCCCTCACATGGTGGGAAAGGGGCAGGAGAGCTCTCTGCCGCCGGTCTTTTTTTTTTTTTTTTTTTTTCAAGTAGAAAAGACCCTTTTATTGGGGTGGACACGGAGCATGCACGAGTCCATGATAAAATGACTCAAGAGAAGGATCCCAAGGGCCAACTTCTCCGCAACATGAGCGCAAGCTCAGTGAGGTCTGGGAATGGGAGAGTTCCGGGTGGAACGCGGGACAAGACCGAGTCTCAAGGGCCTGGACCAGTGTTGGAGAAGGCAGCCCGGCTGTCCTGGTGGGTCGGCCGCCCCGGGCCCGCCCCTGCCGCCTGGCCACAGTGAAGTCTCGCTAGAGACCCTCAGAGGCACGCTCTGGTTCTCTGGAGAACTGGGGGCGGGAGTGGGGGAACTGAACAGGCGGAAGGTGGGGGTCGGAGGGACAATGTGGCTTTTTTTGAAAAAAGCATCTACCAGCATCACACTACTGGGTCTGATGTCCCCTTTAACCAACGCTTGATACAGGTTACAGCATAAATAAAAACCCAAGAAAAATAAATACGTCGGCTCCTATGAGGTTGGAAATGGTGTGGACGCAGGCTGTGAATGCGCAGGCCGGGAGGCGGGCGGGTGAGCGACCGAGGAGCAGACCCGGCAGGACACGCCTGTGGGGTAGTGTCCTCCTGCACGTTTGAGCTGTCGATCCGCGCCACCTTGCGGAGGGGCGCCGAACTCTCGCCTTCCAGTTCCCCTTGCTTCTGGTCTCTCTTATTGGCAGCGTTCTTTTTATCCATTGCTGATGCAGGTAGCACAGGAGGATGTTTGCCTTTTCGGTCACGATGATCTGTTCAGACGGGTATTCTCGGGTGGGCAGGTAGACTGAGGGCCGTCGGTTCGAGGTTTTGCATCGGAGTCCGCGTGAAATAGACAAACATTGATTTTGTTGTAGACAGGCAGTCCTTTCAAAAAATCTGCCATCTTCTGTTTCTTCCGTCGCCACCTCAGCCGCCGCCTCAGCCTCCACCGCCGCCACCACAGCCCTGGGGCCCCTTTTATAAGGACACTAATCTCACTTGTGAGGGCTTCACCCTCACGAACTAATAGACTCCCAAAGACCCCACCTCCTAGAACCATCACATTGAGGATTTCAACATATGAATGGAGGTGGAGGGGACACAAACATTCAGTTCATAACATTATTCTATCTACAAGAAGACAAACTCCAGATTCTAAAATGGCTTTCTTTTACTTGAATTGCAGGCATGGATCTCTCTGTCTAGAGTCTTACAAAGGAAACAGGTAGGTTTTCGTACATTCCACTATTAAGCTGTTTCCCTCAATAGAAAAATCAGTTAAATGTTTTTAAAAATACTTTTAATAACATTTGTTTTTTTGTGTAGTTTTTTGTTTTGTTTTGTTTTGTTTTGTTTGAGACAGAGTCTCGCTCTGTCGCCCGGGCTGGAGTGCACGATCTCGGCTCGCTGCAAGCTCCGCCTCCCGGGTTCACGCCATTCTCCTGCGTCAGTCTCTCGAGTAGCTGGGACTACAGGCGCCCGCCACCACGCCCGGGTAATTTTTTTGTATTTTTAGTAGAGACGGGGTTTCACAGTGTTAGCCAGGATAGTCTCGATCTCCTGACCTTGTGATCCGCCCGCCTCGGCCTCCCAAAGTGCTGGGATTAACAGTCGTGAGCCACTGCGCCCAGCCTCAAAGTCCACTTTTAAGCACACAATATTATGAATATTAAAAACCATATATGCTCCCCAGAAAAGGCAATTCAGCATTTTCAGAAAGAGCATTTGGCAATATTCAACGCATAAAGAGACCGTGCTTAGGGCCATCCACTCTCCAGATTTTCAGTGCTTCCTGGTTTTACAACTGTTGATCAGAGTAGCTACAGAAGGCATCTAGGGATCTGACATAACAAGGGGCACCTAGATGTTTGATGTGAAGATGTCAATGAATGCAGTGAAGTTAGAATTCATAACTTCCATGCTCTGGAAAGAAGGGGCCAATTTACTGCAGCTCAGCTGAACTGCTTAATGATGTTCCTGATCTTCTCAAATCTGTGGCTATCATGATGCTCTTTGCACTGGTAATGGGAAATAACCAAGAATGTAGCTCTTTCAAACCTCAGAACTTCATTGACTTCAAGAATTTGGGCAAAATTCCTTGTGTTCATCTTCAGCTGCTAAACATTCGAAATCAGCTGATAGGCAATACTGGACCAGGCTTTGTAGAGTTTTTCATCCCAGGTGGATGTTTGCAAATAAGCACACTCTAGTGGGTGAGACAAATAAATCAAGTCCAGGTATGGATGAGGCTCCATCCATACTGTTCAGATACTCTTGATCTGAAAACCTGTGAACTAGCAAGACAAATTACCTATCCCATACATGGCCAACATACAATAGTGGGACAGGAATAGAATAACTGCAATAAATATTTCCATTAAATAAAGGAGGAAAATAGGAAATCACCGATCCACTGAAATTCTAAAATCTACCTGGGCATATGTTACTATTTTGCAGTTAGGCCCAATCCTGCTTTCTGAGAATGATTTTCTACGGTTTTTGGCTCTTCCCTTTGGGATCTTGGTTTTGCCCTCTCAGACATTCTTTTCTGCAAGAACTGTTCAATTTTCGCAGGTAAGTAGCCTCCTCAGCCTGCTGCCTGCTCATAGAAGTTTGAGGGTCCAGAAGTCATTTTTCACTTTGTATAGTCTCTGGTGTATTTTTGTTTGTTTTAATGTGAACTGACGCAATGACTTGTAAAATTTTGCGGATTCTTTTGTGTATCAACTTATAATCGATTTTGTTAGGTAAAAGCCACATCCATAAATATCTTCTAGATAGGCCCTTTTCTACCTCAGGCTCCCTGTGAGGCTGCTATGGGGCAATGCCCTTAAGATTCTTAGAAACCTTGATGTTTGAGAGTCTGTATTTTAACCCTTTAAGAACTGATAAAATAAGAGATCATAAGACTAATGGAATGGACTTTGAACTTTGTGGCAATATGATACCAAATTATCAACAAGACCTAAGGCCACGCAAACAAGGTTTAAGTCGTGCACCCCTACACTTAAAGACTAAAGTATGTTTTAACTGCCACAGATTCTTCTTTTTCTCTAGCAGCTAATTAAGCACTGGCATTGAGGTAAGCAATACTGAAACAACTGCAGCTCATTAACCACCAGACACTGACTGACACCTCTGTTCTTCAAACCACAACTGTAGCTTTGATTGGACAAGAGGCCGATTTTAGTAACTTTCTCCTGATAAGAGACCACCGACCCTAGACTGGTTCTGGCTGGTTTACAAAGGCTGTACTGAGTGCCTTCACCTTTGACATATGAGACCCAAATCTATAATGCATTTAAATGTTAAGTCTCCACCCTAAAGTGAACATGGGATGCATGTAACATGCATTTTTGCTTACTATGCTTGCATGCCCCGCTTTGTGAATATCTATAGCTCCTCCTATAACCTGTTGATTACGTATACTTAGCTAACCCATTTGACATAAATCCCTGTTCCACCCTTCCCTCCCTCTAAGTGCTTGCTTTCTGTCTCCGCTGAAGGCTATGCTTCCTAGCCTGTCAGGATGGCCAGACTGCAAACTGCAACCCTTTATAAAAAATAAAACTCTCTTTTCTAACTTTGTACATCTCACAAATTTAAGTTAACAGAATCTTACAAGGTCTTTTATCTGTTTCTGAACTCTTAACAAAAGGCTTACAATCACATCCCTGGATTTATTTCTATCTTGAACTAATGTTTTTCTAAGAAGACCTTAGAATTTTATCTTTGCCCTGCAGCTCTGTCATACTTTGAGCATCTTCTGCTGGGAGAAAATAACAACAAGAAATAGTTTCATGTTCAGATCTAGTTCCTACATAACTCTTCTAAATTCTGTTTGAAAATTGAATAATTTCTTTAGTGTAGATTTGTCTAGCCAGACCTTATGATTCATAGTTCAAAAACAAACAAAAAACAGTTGATACTTTCAAAGTTCTTCCTGGGAATCCAGGCCAGATACAGCAGTTCATTAAATACATTTTCTATTTGCTGTGTTATCACATTTGCTAAACCATCTGCCATGACATGACAAGGGCCTCCTTTCCTCTAGCTTCCAATAACATTTTCCTTACTTGCCTCGAAGCCCTCATTGACATCCTCCTCACTGCCTGTCAGGATTCTACTAACAGTCTCCTCAAAGCCCTTTCAAGTTCTTCCTTACATCTTGTCCCAAAAGCAATGCCCACGTTTTAGGTTTTTATTACAATAGCACCCCAAATTCTGTTCTACTTATCTAATGATGTATAAATGGGCTTCAAAAAATAGTTGCTTAGAACAATAATGATTTTATTATATCTCATGATTAAGAGAATGAGAGATTTGGGCAGGTTTCAGCTGGGTGATCTTTTTACTCCTTTTAGTATCAAGGGAGGTCATCAGTAGTATTTACCTGGTGAATAGGAAGTGTGGAGGATCTAGAGACCTTCACTCATATATCTGGCATTGTGGCAGGAATGACTAGAAGGCTGGGCTCAGCTGGCTCCGCTGCCCAGAATATAGCCTCTCCAGGATAGGGGTCTTCTCACATCATGGCTCAGGGCTCTAAGAGCAAGTATTCAAGTGAATAAGGCAGAAATTGCATGGTCTTTTACGACCTAGTCTCAGAAGCCACGGAGTTTCATTTTTACTGTACTCTGTAGGTCAAAGTCTACTAGTCTACCCAGATTCAAGAAGAAGGAACAAAGACCCAATGTCTCAATGGAAACAAAGTAAAAGAATATGCAGTCATTTTTAAAAACCATCCTAGCAGACTGCACTACAGAAAATGTTAAAGCAAGTTCTTCAAACTGAAGTGATAGCAGAGGGAAACTTAGATCTAAGCAAAGGAATAAAGAGCACCAGAAATACTAAACATGTAGGCAAATAAAAAGAACACTTTTCGTGAACAAAAATCTGATTTTTCCCTTATTTGCTTACTTTACTTTCTGTGATGTGAGGGAGAAAAAGGACCCAGCCCATGTGGCTTCACATTGGGAAAAAGCGGCACCCACTGTTTCCTAAAATTTAGAGCTAGGAGGGACTGGAAAGAGCTGATCCTATCCCTGAATTTTTAGAATCGAATTCCTGTATCACAGTTGAAATGATTGTCAAAGGTAAGAACATAATGTTTGTCCACTGGGGGAAAATTCTGTTGGGGATACCCGAAGGAATATGTGAATCTGAAGATGTGAATTCTATTTTTGGAAAGCTTAATGCAACAGAGTCTGATATAATGGCAAGTGACGGCTGCTTCTGGGACTGAGTCCCCACGACTACCACTTTCTTCTGAATAATTACTGGAAAATATACCTAGACTAAAGTTTATGACTAAATTTAGGGCCTGTATGTTCTGATTTTCCTCCAGATAATAAGGCTATGAGATCTACTGAATTGAATTGATTTACAGAAATTAGATTTTCATGCCCTCCCTAGTTGTTACTGTTGTTTATACAGCTTACATATTTTCTAGAGCAGGAATCTTCTTAACTTCAAGATCCTCAGGGACTCAAAGTTCATGATGGGAGCTCAGCAAATGTACTGGGATAGACAGATATATGGTATTTGTGTACATCAAACTTGATCTAAAGACTTTACCAAGAACATGAGACCCAACAGAAAAATAAGACTTTAAACAGAATTTTTTAAGGATAAGTTTCAAAAAATAAAATAAAATGGGGTATGTTTTAAATTTTAAAGACTGGTAACAAGATAGTATGAATTTTTTCGTTTGGCTGGGCACAGTGGCTCATCCCTGTGGTCCCAACAATTTGGGAGGCCAAGTTGGGTAGATCACATGAGTCCAGGAGTTCAACACCAGCCTGGGCAATGGGGGGAATCCCGTCTCTACAAAAAATATACAAAAAAAATTAGCCGGGCATGGTGGCATACACCTGTAGTCCCAGATACTTGGAAGGCTGAGGTGGGAGGAGCCCTTGAGCCTGGGAGGATGAGGCTGCAGTGAGTTGAGATTGTACCACTGCACTCCAGCCTGGGCAACAGAGTGAGACACTGTTTCAAATAATAATAATAATAATAATAAACACTTTTAAATTATTTCTTAAATTCCCATATAGCAGTAAAAATGTACAGCAAGCACAGCACAAATGACAGGAGTAAAATAGATGTAACTTTATGCAACTGCAGAATCACTTGTTTTGTCAACCAGCATGGAAACTGTCAGAACTGTCAATCAATTAAGCAAGGGAGATAGAAAAGGTGTCACTTTCAAACAGTATAATAATAGAAATAATGACAATACCTCATTCTCATCAGAGGGAGGAGAA